AAAAAAAAAAAATTTAAAATCTTCTTTGAAGGGAGATAAAATCATTCTAGACTTCATTTCTCCCAATAATCTTTCATATGCATTAACCAGCACACAAAGATATTAAGGTACAAGAAGATTCAATATAACATGAATAAGATACATAAACAACAGACAATTGCAACAAACTCACTAATATGCCAAATCTGATACTAAAATTACCAGGCATACATTGTTAAATAATGATGATTACCAAGCTCATGGAGATAAAAGTCAAACTTAAAACTTTCAGCAAGGAATTGCCAAATATAAAAAGTGACATCACAAATATGAAAAAAACCAACTAATAATTTCAGAACTGATAAAGACAATAGCTGAATTAAAGACTTCAGTCAATGCATTTATTGAAATTAGATTAGACAGAGCTGAAGAGAGAAATAGTGAACTGGAAGATAGGTCAGAAGAATCTGCAGAATAAAGCATGGATAAGTAAAAGGATGAAAAATACATAAGAGGGTAAGACACATAAAGGATACATAGAAAAGGTATAACATATTTATTTGAAGTCCTAGAAAGAAAGGAGAGAGAGTAGAAGCAATATTTGAAGAGATGATGACATTTTCCAAAACTGATGAAAGATGTCAATTTACAGCAACAAGAAACAAAAACAGCCAAGCAGAATAAATAAAAAAAGACACCTTCAAAAAAAAAGAAAAGAAAAGAAAAGAAAGGAAGACAAAGGAAAAAAATGTTAAAATTAGCAAGAGGAGTGTGTGGGTAGGTGGGTAACAGATTATCTTCTCATAAGTGACAGACTGCTAACTTTATAACAGTGACAATTGGAAGTAAAAAGATAATGGAATGATATCTTCAGTATGAAGAAAATAACTACCAACCAGGAACTATATTCTTTCCTAAGATAGCCTTTAAGACTGAAGGTGAAATAAAGCCTTAATGCAGAAGAAAGATCTTCAAAAGAAGTATGAATGGGCCAGAAACAAACTGTCTACCTCACATTTTTATCTGTGGTGGACATTTCTTCACCACTTGCTCCTTCCCCCAGTTTTTGTAATGCCAGGTACAGTTTATTCTCTTAGACAAAGTCCAAAATTCAACATATAACAGGATGTGACCAAAGCAAAGCCTAGGTCAAAGGCACACCCAGCATGGCTGTGGTTTTTCCCTCCTGTGATCATGAGGAGGTTTTTCCATCTACATGGGATATAAATACACAAATAGGTTTTCTATTAATCACTGTCCTATCTCAGCATGCAGCTGGGCTTGGCTTAGCAAACTACAGCACGAGGAAAGAGACAGGGAGGAAGTGAAAACTCAGATATGATTTTAAATAGGCAGAGGGATGGGAAGATAAAGCCAAATACAGGTTCCGGCAAATAAGGCAGAATACTGCACATTATAGTTCAAAGAAGTTGTCGTAATCAGGGAATCCCGTGTGAAGTAGTTGGAGTATCCTAGTCAGTGGGCAAATGGGGCAATCAGAAGCAATGCCTCTAAGCCCTTGAGTGAGACATTCTTATAAAAAGTGAACTATGCTAGCTAGCAGTGTGAGTCTGTGTGGTGGTTAAGTAATGTAGCTCTGTGGTTGGATGGACGTGGTACTAAGCCTGGACTCTGCCATTTTCTAACTGGGTTGCTTGGGAGAAAGTTAATCTTTCTGTTTTAGTTTACTCAACAGTGAAATATGGGTAATAGTAGTACCTGAGTCAGATTTGTTGTTGGGATGTTTGAAACAATGTAGGTGATCTGCATGTCATAAGGAAAGTTCTCAATTGTGCTAGCCATCATCATAATGATGCTAATAATGAGTGCTATCAGAAAGATACACTCACCATGCAATGGAAGAAAGGGAGGCAGCATGGAATACCAGGAGGAACAATGGGCTTAGGAGCCACCGTCATAGTTTCCCACCTTTGATCCTGGGCCTGAAGTTTTTCAGTAAAAGACAAACCTATGTAAGTCCCTTTCTCATAAAACAGCACCTAGTATTTAATGGAAAAAAATATTTTACAAAAAGATAAAGAAATGTGAAATAAGGACTGTGCCAGTAAACTTGAGACGGACCTATGGTTGTCCTACCCATAAATTGAGATAGAGATCTGCTATGTGTGGTTGCCAAGTGAACCCAATTATGGATCTGGGAGATCTTCAGAAGTTTGAAACAAGGCAACTCAATGCCCTGGCAAGGTTGAAGCTTGGCTCCAAGTTACAATTTGTTGTCCAGGGATTCATGAAGGCAGGCATTGAGGCACAAGCCTTCTATCTTCATAGCTAGATGGACACTGGATGTGAAATTTACCATGAAGTCCAATATCTTACATAATATCTCTGCAGTTTAAGTTCATACAAAGTCAATCATTCATTCTGGAGACATTCAAATTAATTTCTCGATCCTGCTGCTTAGACAGAGTCATTAGCAAAGAGAAAAATATTCATCTGCCAATGATGCCATCAGCTAATGTTTGGTTCAGGGGATTTTTAATACAGCTCAAGTGTACTATTCAATAGCATTGTGAATTATGCTTGGATAGGACAAACTAATGCTTTTTTTGGTGAAAATACACGCAGCAAAACACACACAAATTTGAGAATTTCTACATGTCACGCTTTTTTTAAACTTATAGCAGTTTGGATTGTAAAACATAGAAATATTAATTTTAAGTGATTTGATTAACAGTCATAGACACATAGATGATACAATGTTAAGACTGAAAGAGGAGAGATTAGAGATCATTTGAGATCACCTAGTCATTTTAAAAATAAGAACATTGAGGCTCAGAGGAGTCAGAGTCAAAGTCAGGTAGCAATTAAAAGTAGGACCAGCACTGTAACTCAAGCCTCCTGCTTCCTAAAGTAAGAACAGGTGTTTTAGTGGCAAAATCCGAAATGGCAGGGAGCTGAATCATAAACTAAAAAACAACTGGAAAAGTAGAGGGGGCAAAAAAAGTTAGGGTTACTTTGGAAGCATTTTGAATTCTGTATCAGATGGACCCAGACTTCACTTATGAATGTAAGGAAAGGTGTTCCGATTTCAAATATGAAGTGCTCTTGCTTAGAAGTCAGGAGAGCTGGGCTCCGCTTTTCCATTCAGTCTTGGTGCCTACCCTGTGCCTACCACTGTGCTAGGCATCAATTCTGGACCTGGCACTACCACTCACTCGCTGGGGATCTTAGTTTGCTCATTTATAAAATTGGGTTCCTAGGGAACAAAAGCAGAAAGAGGAAAACTAGGAAAGAGAGATTTAGTTAGGAGTTGTGTTTGTGGCTAGGAAGAGGAGAACAAGGTGGGAGGGGAAGAAATAGACACTAA